TCTCTGTTGTCATAAAGCACTGAAGATTACAACAGTATATGAAGATGGTCGTCTGTAGAGAAATCGAAATGATCCGTCAATTATTGACTTCAGCAATGATGAAACTGGTCAACATATTGACATGTGGTGAGAAGATTACAAGTGACGTACTCAACAGGGGGAGTAGCCTCATACTGTACTCTTTTTCCCTTGATCGAGGTTTTGTCCCAATGGGTTTTCCTGACAAGATTTTTAACGAGGCAGCGTTATCTCTGGAAATGTACACTTTTTCTTTTATTAGATTTTTATCTCATTGGGTTTTTTCAAGTAAATGTTTTAACGAGACGTTATCCTAAGAAATAGACATCCAAGGGGGAGTGTTATAAATATAGTAATAATGTGGATGTCCATAAGATAAAAGAGTTATATTTGGATTTCATATATAGAAATAATATTTAGTTAGAATTTATATTCATTGATCTTATATTTGTATATAATTGCCTATAAATAGAGGCGAGTCCCTATTGAATAAGATACACCTGAACCCTCTTTCTCTCTTTCTCATAGTTCTACTTCTTAATCTATATTTATTTTATAATATCAAGGAATATATATATATATATATGTATATATAGATAGTGTTATTATTAGCCAGTTAAACTTGTGACAATGACATGATAACTTTCATAGGATATACTATTTATTTATAGCATCGGTGAATTCTCTACTGTGTTATACAGGTAAGCAATAATAATGTTGTAAAGTTGGAATAAATTCATTCAGGAGTTGATACTTCTTCTTTCTTCCTTTTTTTTTTGATCTTTCTGCAACTGCATTTATACATTAATTGGATCTCGCACAAATTATTGCCAACTAGTCCATGAAATTTGCTGATGAATTGCATATTATTAACAAAGGAAATTTAAATATTAAATAAAATAAAGTTTTTTTTGGGGGGGGGAGAGTGGTGGCCGTAGGGGTGTCAATTTGAGTTGGGTACGGGTCCACGGTTTGGGTTGGACCTAAACTATTTAATTTTTACCCCATCTCGAACCCAAACTATATATTAAACAGGTCAGATTCTTGAATTCTGACCCGACCGTTTATTTTCCAGATTACCTGAGTTGGACTCGTTTAACCCGAATATTTTTTTATTGTCTGGTGCCCAATTAATTTTTTTGGTAAAAATTATGAATTTTTTAACAAAAATCTATGTTTTCTACACATTTCAAAATGCAAACCAAAGCAAAAGAACTAATTTTAGGCATGATAATACCCAAATCTATAAAACATCATACAAAATATCCTTAAACGATAAACATTTGATAAAATACAATCCAAATGAAAATAATCCATCATCCAAAAGCTAAAAATCACATGTTCCAAAAGAAACTAATAAAATATTCGCTAAAATGACCCATACGTCTCTAGGAAATTAATAAAATTACCAATATACCTATTTAAAAGGGTAGCCCGTGTAACCCGCCAGGACAACCGAACCCAACCCATTTACGAAACAAGTTCGGTTGACCTAACCCATTTATTATTTTAGTCGAAAATCCCAACTTAAACCCGCTAATTTCGTGTTGGATTCGTATCGGATTCACGGGTCCAAACCCTACTTGACCCTAGTGGGGGATATGTATCGAAGGATTGTTTTAGATGTAGGTTTAAGAATCGGTAATGTGAGAAAAATAAGAACTTCTTAACCCATTTTAACATGATGAAGAGGCGGTTGTATCCTGTTGTTTAGCTCCATGCCTTCAGAGAATAATTCATTAAGTTGATTGTAAATGGTTAATTATGGCAACATTAAGTTTTCAATTTGATCAGCAAATTCAAGGCCACTGATATAATGCATTGTACTACTATATACCGCTGGCCTCCAAAAATGCGTCGGCACTTGTGCAATGTGCTCCGGGCAGTTGGACTTGTTTTCATTTTTACTGTTGATCCCACAAAAAGCCAACAAACCTAAAACTAAAACACAATGTTCAATCCAGGCATATATAAAGTGTAATAATTGGTTTGAAAATTGAACGCAGAAAATGACGTTGAATATTGTTAAGAAGTTCTTGTTTGTGTATGAGCTCGATTTTTATGAGATTCACAAAGCTATATAATATTTCATTAAGCCATAGCTTTTCAAAACACCATCTTTGTTGCCGTTTCCGATTCATCCCATCATAAAATGATTGTCTGATCGGTTTGACTTTTTACTTTTTAACATAAATTACACTGAAAAAAATTTAAAAAATCTAATAAGACAAATATTCCAAAATAAAAAAGTGATAAATTTGCATCTTGATGGATAATCCCATTATAGAAGATATCAATGGAGACCGTATGAAATTCAAAAACCCTAATCAAAATATACTTGAGATACATGATCGAACAATTAACAAAATACAATTATGTATACCGGAAATCTAATAGTCATCACTATTGATCATGGCAAATAATTAAGAGCACCTAGGTGCACCTAGAAGGTGTACCTACTGGACAAGTGTAATACACTTTCCTTGTACGCAAGTGGATTTTCTTTCCCCCCAAATTTTAGCCAAACGCGCATTTAATGCTCCAAATTTATTCCCCTTGTTCACACTCATTTAATTTTAAACTATTTTTTTTATCTTATCCTATTAGTTTTTATATTATTTTATTTGATCAAAAATCTTTTTTTATGACGATTTATTTTATTAGGATATCATTTTAGTATTGGGCGAATCAACTGAATAAGACATTTCTTTCTATTTAAATCTTGATTAATAATGATCCCATTCTACATGAATAACAATACTAAAATGAAGAATATATGTAGTTTTGCTAGATGAATAATTGTACTTTAATGAATGAATGAGATAACATTATTGGTTGAATAATGCGTAAGAGAATGAATAACTTTGATCAATAAAACTAACAAGAGTATATTTTACAATGAGTTGATGTGAGCAACTAAACTACCAAATTTCTAATTATGTATTATACTAGACTAAAACTGAACAAAAAAAATAGTCATTGGTTTTAACATATAAACTCTTGAATGAATCGCCGATACTCGATACGTCTATGTTGATTGTTTGATTGCAGCAACTCTGCCAAATATTTTATTCCCAACCGATCGAGTTCATTTTGATGAATATTTATCTGACGTTGATCAAACAAAGAAAACATTACAATAAGTGAGATTTTATATTCTATCAAAATTATTTTTTGACTAAAATATTGATTAATTGATAATGGATAAATACATGAATTAGCTCAATGATACTGATGAATAACCATACAATCAATGATATTGATGAATGAGCTCACTTATACTCAACAGATGAATACATGAATGAGCTAACTGACACTGATGAATAATGGTTCCTTTTATAATAGAAGAAACAAATTGATGAACAACAACAACATTAAAACTCAAAATTATAAAACCCAGATTTCCAACCAACAGCATGATGAATAACCATACAAAACAGATGAATAACCATACACAATGGATGAATAACCAAATGGATGAACAACAACAACATTAAATTCCATAATTATAAAATTCAGATTTCCAACCAACAACAACATGGCGAATAACCATATAAAACGAATGTATAACCATACAGAACGGATGAATAACCATACACAAATGGATGAATAACCAAATTGATGAATAACAACAACATTTTTACAAATCACACACTATGATTGTTGAATAATCACACCGAAACTGGTGTATAAACGCATTTTAAAGTTCCAAAAACAAATTAAAGAAAAAGAATATCATAATTTTGAATGTACAATGCTTAGATCTATGAAACCCAACAACAAAATCAAAAGTTGAATAGATTTTAAGAAATACCCCCGCCACTCTAAATTCATAAATCTTTTGGTAATTCACCAAATCTGAATTCATAAACCTCTGACAATTCATCAAGGAAGATCTGAAACAAATCCACAAATACAAAACTACTGATTCATCAAAGAAGATCATAAACAAAAATCCACAAAGAGAACCCACAAAAACAGATGAATAACATAATTAATTACCGTAATTCTCTCTTTAATTTGTATTTACTCGATTATAAAATCTATATTTTTGATCCACAAAGTCAATTCCGAGAGCTCAGCCGCCGAGAGAATTTCGTTCTTGCTTGAGCGGTTATAAAAGCAGAAAAATGAGAAAAAAAATTAAGGTAATTGGGTATTTATATTTTTTGTTATGGGGATTTGAAAATTAAAAAAATTCAAAAAAAGGTTATTATTGGGGTATTTTAGAGCGTGAAAGACACGTTAGATGTACTTAGGTGCTCATGATTATAACTGATTGATCATACTCATTTTGTAAGCTGTATTTATTGACTCTCTTAATTAGCTAGTCACCTATTATGGAACACTACATACAAATCACTTTCAAAAAGCAATTCAGGAACCCAATACGAATTACTATCCACATTAATAAAACTGATTAATGCTGTCTTCTATGATCAGTATATCGGATTACTTAGTCACGATTTTTTTATTTTTTTTATTAGATTATTTCTTTCGTTGTTTTTTCCTTTCGTTTTGTTTACACCAAAAGAGGCTAATGCCCGAGTCTCCTGTTATTTTTTGGTTCCTTTTAAGTTTCATAATAAAGATTAATGTGGCTAGCTAATTCAATGATTCACTATCGTTATCTGATTCACTGATTTAACTGATTTAACTTATGCATCTCCCATACTAACCCAATAAATTGAATCTAAGTGAAATGTGAAATGTTGCACCCCTCAGTGTGTAAATAGTTCAGGAAAAAAAAAAGATAATGAATAATTAATTTACGATAAACATGATGCGAAATAATCAGTAGACGATTTAGAAATTAAGAATAAAATGTTGCACTCATACTCAGTATTAAATTACATTATTACAGGCTTATAGCCACACAACCACCTGAAACTTAGTTCCCTTCTGCAAAGACGGCATTCAGTTATTGAGTAGAACAAAAATACTAAGAGATATGAATAGTAGACTGCCACTCTTTTGATTAATTAAACACCACAATAAGCATTGAGAAGATCCTCAGCTTGGCGACCCTCTTTAGTGCCAAAAAATTCAAGCAGCTTTATAGGACTAAACGGCTTGTACAGAAGTGGATGTTCATCATCAACCAACTCTTCCGGAACTTGTATTAATCCTTTGTGAAATGAAAATGTGCTGAGAGTAAACCTTTCTTCCTCTCCTCTCATTTTCACTTGATGTACTGGGGCATGTATTCTCCCATTGCTCCACCCCTAATCCAACAATAAGGTAAAGTAGTATCCTTAATCAACTTTCAATTATCGAAACGTGGACAAAACATATTTTATCCCGTGAAATGGTTATGTGATTGATGTGCTGCGAGTGAATATACAAACTACCTCTCTTCCGAAAAATAAGTTCAAATTGAATTTTGATAATCGTTAATATAAATATCCAAATTTAGTGTAGATTATTTTCTTGAAACAGAGAAAAATTATCAAAAGTAAAAGTAACTTACAGATAGAGAATCGCCGGCCATAACCAGAAGGGACGAAGGTGGTAAGTCAAGATTGATCCACTTCCCATCCTTGGTTTTGACCTCAAGTCCATTCACTTGATTTTGATGAAGTATTGTTAGTAGTGACTTGTCCGTATGAGGGGTAATACCAACATTAGACTGGTCACTTGATTGGGGCACCCGATAATTGATCATTCTCAATAAGTGAGTAAATGATGCAATTCCACAATCACGATCAAAACACTTCTCCACCCCGTAGCTCTCATATATCATTCTTGTCACAATTCGATCTAGTTCTGCGAATTTCTTGGCAAAATAATACATAATTTCACTGCAACACACAGGTATAAAATAATATATTAACATGTACTTTCTTAAAACTAACAAGGTCGGTATGTGGCAAATATTCTCCGAATCACAAAAAAGTACAAAAAAATATGCATGCATTAAAATATATGCTCTCTAGTCCTTATTCTGAGGCATAAATAATTAATAAGGACCGGAGAGAGTATATACGTACCAGAAACTCGGATTTCCAGAGGGCCACATTAAGTTTGTGAAGCTTTGGATTTCTTCAACATCATGAGGAGCTGCATCAAAGACCCCCAGCATTTCGGTGAGCGGCCCGGTTCGGTATCCGTACATCGGATTATCGAAAACGTTCTTCTTCTTGGCTTCCACTGGAAGACCGAACACATCTTTCAGCGCTTTGAAAACTGAAGCAGAGTCTTCTGAAGTAAACAAATCATGAATTGCCACGAAACAACCATACTCTTCCATGGCTGCTTTCACTTTCTCGCAGGCCGCAACCCATGAACTTGTGCCTGGTTTTGCAGTTTCGCCTGCCAGACTTATCACCGGAATCATCATTTTTTGGTGCATGAATGTTTCGCGCAAATGGGCTTTATATAGGGGTATTAGGGCGGCCATTTTGTTTTTTTTTTTCTTTTTTGTTATGTTAGTCAATTAAATAATTTCGTTTGTTTCTTTTTTCTGTTCTTTTTCGTCAGAGAACTGGGAGAGTGCCTAACTGGTTAGCCAACGCTTCATTGAAAATTTGGCTAAACCGCGGTAGAAGATGTCAAATTAATAAAAGGGGTATGACCTTAAAATATTTTGTATGAAGAGCGGTAATTTATTTGTAAAAAATCACAAAAATAATATAATTTGATATTGACAAAATTATCCTTAATTTCTATAACTCACTTCAGTTTAATCAATCAGCCTTAACAGCTCGAGAACTGTCCCTAACTTTGGTTCCCCTCTGTATTTCACTGGATTCAAATCCGCGGTAGGGACAATTGGTAAAGCCAGGAGAAATCATCCAAAAAATTAAACTCCGAACTTTAGGAACTAATAGATATTAATTAATTAAGAAGACAAAGAACCAAAACCATGCAAAATAAATTGGGCAAAATCAAAGCTTGAACCCAGACGAAGCCACGCACAGAGCTTTCACCAAGTTCTCTGTTCTCACCCAGCTTTCACCTTTTTATTTAGGATGTTGCAGAGTATAAGAAGAGAGTTCGACAGCAGGCCAAGCTGTATTCCCCGGACCCTCGCTTATCTAATAGGGCGTTCAGTTTCAGTTGTTAATGGTTGTTTCTTAATTGAATTTGCTAGAAACTGTAACTTGGAAGGGTTATGCTTGAACTTCACTCACGTTGATGATATGTGGCGTGAGTGAACCATTTTGGCCAAATAGGCTTACAAATTCTCTGCGTAAAACTAATCACTTCCTAACCCTACCATTCCTTAGATAGGGATTTTGGATTCTTAGAATATTATGAAAAAGCTCAACAAGTTTGCAATGGAATTGTGTTTCTCAAATTGAGAAAAAGGGTTTTTTTAAATCTCTAAGATACGTTTAGCCTTGATTTTATTTATTATTTTTGTTGTGTAAAAAATTATAAGGGTGGCACTGTTAATTCAAAATATTTTTTATTTTATAATTTTTGACAAATAAATTACCGTCATTTATAAATAATATTTTAGAGTCATACCTTTTTTATTAAGTTGATTTGTTCTACCGCCTTTTACCCAAATTTTCCCATTTTCTTTTAATGTTAGAAAAATGTAAAAACTGATTATTAGATTAATAAATAGTAGTAGTACAATATTCTTTGGAAGTATTCGTGTGGACGTCCAAATTGTCAAATTGACGCCCACATATTAAATGACGATGACGATGACGATGACGATGACAAGCACTCGTGTAAATGTAACTATTACTACTTTTCGTCGCCATTATTTGAGCAAGAAAAGCTGTATTTAGCAGTTATTATTTGAACTAAACAGATTGAATAAATCTTCTTTTTCTTTTCTTTTTCAGTTTTATTTTTAAGAAATATACTTCTTCTGATCTACTACAATGTATCTTTTAAAATTTTCTTTAGTTCTATTCATAACACATTTAACGATTGTTATCTTCATCATTATATCAAAACAGTATAAGAACCAAAAAAAAAAAAGAAGTATTAAATATTATTCAAAGTCTTTTTTTTTTTTTGGGTGGGGGGAAGGGGGTGTGCCTAACTACTCCCGAGGTTGATCGAAGAAAACGGCTGTGCAAATTTAAAATTCTTTCAACAAGAGAAATTCAAATTCAGTGAACTATAACTACTTCTTTTGAAGTCTGAATATTATTTGTACATATGAATATATCAGATTAAATTAATGAAAAGAGCTTTAAAAAGATACTGACTATGTATATTTTGTTTGGTCAGTGGTCACCATAACCGAGACTGTGGTTACTTTATTTGGTCACTAGTGAGAAATGCAGTCAAAGAACTAGATTATTGACCAATATTTTTCAAGAAATGGAAATAAAAAAACACGTAACCAATTTGCTAACTTCTTAGCCAATAATTAAAAGAAAAAAAAAACAGAGAGAATATCTGATCTAGTTGTATAAGAATCTAAGTTATTGGGCTAATTTTGTTAAGAGTCTGGTTTTTTTTCATCACCAATGAACATACGTGACGTTTACTTTCTTTTTTTTTTAATAAATAAATAAATATATATATATATATATATTCATTTTCATTTGTGAGAATAAGTATTGATGAAGCAAGTTTCTGTTCACCCTTGAGGATAATAGAATAGCCTTGAAACCACTTGATCTTCACCCAAAATGATAATTGAATAGCCTTGAAACTACATGATCTTCAAACCTGCAAAGCCCCAGCGAGTGTCGGGGTAGACACTCCGATGCCAAAGTTAGTCCCTTTATTATTTAACAATATGGTATTTATAGGAGAAGAGAGTATCGTTCAAGGATGAACCTCGAGCTGTCAAGACTGAATCATGGAGTATCAGATCTTCCAAGAGTGAATCGTGGAATATAGTTGATAAAGATTGTGATAATATCAATGCAGTATCGTCAATTGAATTATCCAAACTGCATATTCACAAAAATGTGAATAGTAATTACAAATTTACCTCCAACGGACCTATTTTATCTCTATACTAAACCTATCTTTATTGACCTCTGTACCAAACCCAAATAAGTTTTCTTTTGCAATGGACTTATTTTAATATTTTAGAGTGGGCCTAAGTTACCAAAAGCCCACTTAAGTGAATTTAATCCAACCCTATCATTAGCTCTCGAAATCCTAGATACTTTTTTATAACTTGGGCTTTTTGTGACGTAATGGGATGTTAATTCTCTTTTAAGTATCTCGTGCAAAGATCATGCATTGATATTTATATGTAAAACCTATACTTTGCAAATGATAATGTGAGGAGACAAGTTTGAATCTCACGAATTTTGAAACTTGTATTCTAAACTCGAAAAGAAAAAGTATTACACAAACTCCCATGCAAATTTGTTTTGGCTAAAGGCCATTTCTTGACCCTTGTCTAGTCAAATATTTAGAAATTTATCATATCAAAGTTTATAGTCTCACATGACTGTGATATAACTTTGATTTATGATTTAGCAGCCCAAAGGATAGCCTTTAGCCAAATCAAAAGACTTGGAATATCTTTGATTTATGATTTATGAGGCTAAAGCTGAATAAAAAGACTTGTTATGTCTTTGATTTATGATTTATGCGGCTAAAAGCCAAATGAAAAGACTTGTTATGTCTTTGGATTTTTATTTATGAGGCTAAAAGTAGAATCTTTTGTTGAATGAAAAGATTTCATATGTCTTTAATTTATGATTTATGCGGCTAAAAATATAATCTTTTGCCGAATCGAAAGACTTGTATGTCCTTGATTTATGATTTATACGGCTAAAAAGTAGTTACTTTTGCTGAATCGAAAGAGTTGTATGTCTTTGATTATGATTTATGTGGCTAAAAGTAGTTAATTTTGCCGAATCGAAAGACTTGTATGTCTTTGATTTATGATTTATGCGGCTAAAAGCGGAATCGAAAGACTTGCATGTCTTTGAATTATGATTTATGCGGCTATAAGTAGAATATTTTGCCAAATCGAAAGACTTGTATGTCTTTGAATTATGATTGATGCGGCTAAAAGTAGAATCTTTTGCCGAATCAAAAGACTTCATATGCCTTTAATTTATGATTTATGCGACTAAAAGTAGAATCTTTTGCCGAATCAAAAGACTTGTGTGTCTTTGATTTATGATTTATGCGGCTAAAAGTAGTTACTTTTGCCAAATCCAAAGACTCGTTCTGTCTTTGATTTATGATTTATGCGGCTAAAAGTAGTTACTTTCGCCGAATCGAAAGACTTGTATGTCTTTGATTTATGATTTATGCGGCTAAAAGTAGTTAGTTTTTGCCGAATCAAAATACTTGTTCTATCTTTGATTTATGATTCATGAGATGTACAATGGAAACGTGTTTGTGTCGTGTCTTTGGGATGGTAAATGAGTAAGATTCTCTATCCCCTTTCTTAATTTAAGCATATAGTCTGGTAGTATTAATATATGTGAAAGATTGATATGCGAAAGAATTATCGCCCATAAGCATACTTATATGAATTAAAGCACAATACAATCATACAATATAAAAATTTATGAATATATGAAAAAACCTTGGTTCGTAAAGCTATAAACCATAGCCTTTGTCTCCAAAGATGAAGCTTTGAAGCATAACCCCCCCCCCCCCTTTTTTCTTTTTGGCAAAGCTTTATTATTGAAGCTGATATGGTGTAAGCCTTTGGCTCTGCTGGTTAAGGAAGTTCCCAGTCAAAACTTACTATAGGCCTTGATTATGAATAAACATTTTGCTTCCCAAGATTTGTACAAGGCTGACAACGTCTAAAATTTTAGTCGTCCAAGCTTTGGGAAAGTAGTTAATGAAAAAAATCTTTACTGCATAAACTTCACTAGCAGAAGTGAAGAGCCATAATTTTTGGCATAATCGACAAACCCAATGAGGCAATAACCTTCGACAATGTTGAATAAGCATAAGCCTTTAACAACAAGGCTTTGTCAGCAAAAATGACAACACATCAGACTTTGTTACTAAAACTCTGTGCTTTGCTAATAAACTGTAAAATCAAAATTTATTTACTTAAGGAAAAAATTATTATTTTCCTTGCTCGACATGTCTCATGCGAGGCCACATTTGTTGTTGATGGAGCCTTGTACCAAGGTGAAATTTAGTGTTGTGACATAACTTTGTTAGTTAAAAGTTTTCTTGGTGAAGCCCTGTACCTAGGTGAAATTTAATGTTGTGCCATAGTTTTGTTAGTGAAAAGTTTTGTTGGTGAAGCCCCGTACCAAGATGAAATTTAGTATTGTGCCATAATTTTTTAGTGAATTTGACAAATTACATGCCTCTGCTACTGCACCTTTAATTTGTAGAAGCTGATGAGGTGTAATCTTTTGGCAAATGAAATATAGAAACTCATTTTATTTTATTTTATTTATTTATTTTTTTAAGCAAAGCTAA